GTCGCGCAGGGGCACGGGCGTTTCCCGCCCTGGATGATGCTGTTCGAGCTAGTGGTTTGATCGGCTGTTGAACTGTCTTAAAGATTGTTATTGGTGTTTTAACAATATCCTTAGATGATTTTTCCATCGAAGCCACCTTTTTAATTTGTTCCCCAAAGGACGAACCAAAGAGAAGTTCGTCGATTGGAATGGTGTCTGCCGTATTTTTGGCAGTCAGGTTAAGAGCGGGGACGGTTAGAGCTCTTCTTGTGAGAGACAGGCGATAGAACAGGTCTGCTAACAACTTAGCACCATCATTGACCTTGGAGATGGCCAGCCGAGTCTCCAAGTTTAAAGAATTTTGCGTCTCCGGACAGAGGAGGTCCGAAAGAGCCTCGCCCAATGCGCATAAAGCAATGCCCACCTGATTTTGGTTCTTGGTCGCAAAATCATCCTTTTTTACGATGGTATTGTTCTTCAGAGCTACTCTACATTCCTGATTTAACGCAGGAGCTCTGAGAAAAACTATTGGCTCAGGAGGAGAGTATTTACCTAGGAAAAACTCTCGCTGGTCAGCCGGGAGACCTTTGCGTGTCCATTCACGCCACTTCGTGACAATTAAGTCGTTACAGGAAGGTATTTCCTGCTCCTCAAGGTCGGAACCGAACAGTTGTTTAGTGAGAAGCTCCCTGTTGTCATCCTCTGGAAGAGAAGCGATATGTAGCGGATCCTCATGTACCGTCACTCTTTTGGGTGACCTGGGGGACATGTCCCCCTCCTGAGGAGCTTGGTCTTCAGCTGTCAACAGAGGATCCGTGTTCTGATTACTCAGACCAAAAAAGTGTGTCGTCATGCCGCCTGTATTTCTCGAATACAGATCCAGCAATATCATACACACCTGTATGCGGCTCCGCGAGGGATGCCGAAAAATTGTCCTCTACATCAGGATCATTATGGATAAGGGCATGGATCGCTCACTGGGCCGGTATAAATGACACGGAAACAGACGAGGGGGGCTTGCTGGGCACTCTAACCTCTCTTTGTGTCAAGATATCTATTAATCTAGACACTTTATCTTCCAGTTCCGTCAAGCGGTCGGAGGACGAAGATCTTTTTCTTTTTCTTGATTTGTGAGACGACTTACCCATTTTTAGTAATCTATAAACCTAAAAAAAACCTGAAAAAACTGCGCTCGAAAAACGCTATTTTGCATAAAAAGTAGTTATGCAAAAATGGTAATTTTGCAAAAAAGACTACAACATATACACTAACGGATCCTGATGTCGATAATAGTGGGGGGTTTTGACCTGCTTTAATGCATTTTTTACCAAGATTTTTGAAACGGATCCAGCAAAATTAATTTTTTTTAACTTGGAAGGAGGGGGTTTTAACCCCAAAACCCTCCACCAGGATCCGCCAGTAAACATATATAAGGAGAAGCAAAGAACGCACGTGCATTGAATACGCAGAAACATTAACCTATCAAGTTGTGAAGCAAGTTACAAAGTTATAAATATGGTAAACCCAAATGATTATGCTTCATTTGACGATTTTCAAAGATACAATGTATCACGTTTAATTGATGAATTTGCTGATGATTTAATAAAAATGTCCGGAAAATGTATGGATATCGGTTGTGGTCCAGGAGATATAACGAATGATATTCTTTTGTCATCTCTTGACCCAAATGCAGTAATAATTGGTAAGTAAACAAATAAATTGTTTATATACAACAACAAATTGTCGTGCATTATTACTTATTGTTAATCCGATTATTGTATATCATGCAGGTACGGATATTTCACAAAGCATGATCGAATATGCAAATATGACATATAGCGATGAGAAAAGACTTGGATTCGAAGTATTAGATACCCAAACTAAAAATTTACCTGAGAAATATGTATCGGAATTTGACCACATTTTTTCATTCCACACTTTGCATTGGTGCAAAGACATTCGGTAAGTAAGATTATTAAGCAGATATAAATTAATAAATTTCTTATAAAAATATAATTTTTTTCTTATAGGAAAATTTGGTATTTATTATATAAAAAATTTCTATTAACAAAATTTACAACTGGTCTAAATAAATAATTTCTGTGTAATTTTCAATTTAAAATAATTGGTTTTAGTAACGTCTTTTGCTTGATACGTTGTTTGCACGTCTTTCACCTAATAATATGGACACACAATTTTAATTCACAAATATCATAACAAATGTGTACTTCAGAAATTATTTATACTTATCTTTTTTATTCAACAGACAAGCGTTTGAAAACATTTATCGCATGCTTCGACCTGGTGGAACTATGCTTACATTATTCGTAGCATCTCATGATACATTTAATGTTTTTGAACTAATGGCACAAAATAATTATTTTGCACCGTACATGGAGGTAAATTTCATTATTTATAATGTATTCGTTTATAATTTTTTAGTTATAATTTACTAATTATTATTTTTTCATTTACGTAGGATGTACAAAGGTATGTTTCGCCGTATTTGTATTCAAAAAATCCTCGCAAAGAAGTAAAAGAGTTAGTTAAAAGTATTGGATTTAAAGTTTACCATTGCAGTCATCGAGATGTGACATTTTCCTCTAAAGATTCAGACAACTTTTTATGTAAGTATTAGAAACTTATCATCTGCGTCAAAAATTTTTTTGTATTATTTATGTATATTGAAGCATTAAAAATTTTAATTTTAATTATTTATTACTTTAACAGCTGCGATAATGTCCATACCTGCATTTTTGGATAAAATGCCACATGATCTTATAAAAGAATTCAAGCATAATTACGCACGTGAATATATGAAAAGGAAGATTAGCTATACATCAATATGTGATAATCAAGAGCAAAAATTTATATTAGATATACACAAAGTGGTGATAGTTTATGCACGAAAAGTTATATAATATTACGTATAT